GGCAGCTGCTTTGACCTCCCCTCCCATTTATATGTGGTCACAGGGCCAGAGATTTGTAGAATCTATCTATAGAATTTAGGGGTTCTCTTCTTTGGCCATTTCCTCTACAGGATTTTTCCCTCACTCTACAGACACTACAATTGCTCTGGACTCTGTCTTCTGGTTCTTTAGCTGCCCTTCACCACTTTGCACCTGTGACTGTGACTATCCTAAAACTCAGGCTCTGGTAATAAAAACTGGAAGCTCAGTCCATGACAGCCTTTTCTTCCAAATTCCCACTCACCTCCAATATATATCTATTTTTATCCAATCTGCAGAGCCACCACATAGAGTTGTGTATGTGTTTGCATGTATGTACATGTATATGCTGAGAGAAAACTGTCAATCTTTAAAGCAGAACAACCTAAAGAAATTTTAAGAGTAATTGAATCTAAGCATTTCCTATGAAAGACTGGAGCTAAGATCACATAGGTGACTTTCAAAGCTTGTGTAACTATTTAGTACTGTGTCAGAATATCTTTCCCTCATCTCAAGTATGAAATTAGTGTAAAAAGGCATGGATGGGCATCAAAAGGCAATGTCAAGTCTATAGAAGGAATGACTTCTGGCAAAAGTGCCATATAAAATGAAAAACTGAAAAAATTATAGATTCTCCATTGATTTAGAGGAATGTAAGCAGAGACTTAACTTGTAGGGAAGCTGTAGGATATATTTGAACATTTGATGGGTAATTGAACTATACAGCCATCAAAGTTCCCTCCAGATCAGAGTACCTACAACCGGACAATTGAGTTATCACTGTGCTGTATCTTAAAGTGTCATTCCTTCATTCTGACACTATCATCTTGATTATACATTAGGACACATGTCCCAAATAAATAATTTTTACAATTTTGGGATTGATGTTCTCAGCATAGGGTTCTTGCAGAGTTTATTGATACTGCCTAAAAAAAAATGTTTTAGAATTCCTGTCACTTGCAGACATGAATTTCATATAAAATTACTTTCATAAAGTTTTTGTTTACTCTAAGTTGCAAAAAATTAACCAAGTTTATATCATGATAAAGTAAATTGTTACATAAAAAAGCAAAACTGTTTTTTCCCTACAAATCAAACATGCATACATACAGGTGAGGCAAAGTAGATTTACAGTTGTTTGGATGAAAATCAATACAATAATTAACAAGTAATAATACACAAATAAACTGTGCATGCATACTCACAACTGTAAACCTGCTTTTTACCCACCCCATATATAGAAATACATATAGATATGTAGATTAGGGATTTTCCAAGGATTATGTCCTTGGAAAAAATATTTCTTTAAATGTATTAATATGAATGCAGTTTGAACTTAAAATTTTTAGTCAAAGAGAAAATGTGAAAACTTGAACTTGTTTGTACTGTTTCATAATTCAGCTTAATATATTTATGAGCTACTGACTTTTTCCTAGCAGAGCAACAATTCTCAAAGTGTGATCAAGGAGCCCATGGAAGGTTCAAGGGTTTTGCAAGACCAGAACTATTTCCATAATAATATGAAGACATTATCTGCCCTTTTACTTTTATTCTTGTACAAGAATACAATGGACTTTTCCAGAAACTACATGTCATGTATGATATCATTGCTTTCAATGCTAATGGAATATGTGCTTTTGTGTTCTTATGTTTTTCTAAAATCTAACATTAGCCTATAAATAAGCATTTTTTCACATATTAACTCAATGTTTCATCAGTATATTATTCTATTACTGTCACTGGTTATACTTATAATCTTTGTAAACTCATTATCATGTAATAAATATATCTTGCTTTGAAATCCTAAAGTTATCCTTGTGCTTACATGAAAACAAAAAAAGAAGAAGTTGTATGAATTTTCATATTTTTAAGTTTTTGAAAAATGTTGAAAATTTTAAGTATCATCTAAAATTGTATTATATTAGAATGTAACAATTATTTCAAAATTCAGGAACTATATATTCTTAGAGTTAAATGATTATTGGCTTAAAAAGGATAAGAAGATTAATCTTCTCAACCCACAGATGCACTGTCTACATCCAAAGATGATGAAGAAAACAAAACTTTCATATTAGAGTGTTATTTGGCTCATGAGAGACAGGAATCCATTCCAAACAACCTGAGTGAAACTAACCAAGAAACAAAGCTATGACAAAATGTTATTCCCCTCATTTGTGTACATGCTAATATTTTTCTTATTTTGTTTCTGAAAGAGAATATCTTAAAATAGATTTATAGTCAATAGATTCTAGTCAAGTTGCAGTACCATTTTGGGCTGAAGTCTTTATTTTATTTTATTTTTTATTTTAGTTAAGGGAAGGGAGGGAGAAAGAGGAGAGACTCATCAATGTGAGAGAAAAATATCAACTGATTGCCTTCTGCACACACCCTCAACTGTGGACTAAGCCTGCAACCCAGGCTTACACCCTGACCAGGAATCAAACCAGCACCCTTTCAGTTTGCAGGATGATACCCAACAAATTGAGCCACTCCAGCAGGGGCTGAGCTGAAGTCTTTAATAGCAAAACCTACTTTTTTAGAGCTTTTCAAATTGAACTTACAGAGCCACTGACACATCTTTCAGGATACATTATTATATTGCATTGAGAAGAGAACACAGAATAGCTTGAATTTTAATAAAGCTTTGAACCACTGACATTGCTCAATGCCTGTTGATGAAAAATCAGTTAAAGCATTCACATCAGTGTCAGTTTTCAATATCTTTTCAGATTAAAGATTTACAGAAACCATGGAAATGAGATAATATCTAATCTGCAGAACTGTACTTTTTTCCTTATAAATGAATGAATCCATGGACATGGATGGACTTGCTCATTTGCTTCTATTCATCTAGTATGGGCACCAACAAAACATCCAGAAAGATCTTGTTTTATGTGACTATTTGGCACCATGCACAAGTGGCACTAAAATATTCAAAGTATTCAGTAACGTCTTTGAATTTCATCACTTTTTGAGCCTGGTAGAAGAACTGAGTTGACTTTTATAACGATAGCACAAAACTATGGGTAAAACTGCTGGTGCCTTAGAACAAATTGCAGTAGTGATTTCCAACCATATTACAGGTCATGGTATTCTTCACTGATGGGCAATTTACAAGTAAAAAGGAATTGCCAATTTTACCTAAGAATATCATTCCAGGGCTCTCCCTGTGCACCAAAGATAACTGAAGCTGGTACCTGTTTTCTACCTTGGAATGCTCAGGGGAGGCTTGAGGGATTTCACTTGAGGGTGGTTTTTATGCCTTCCTCTGTTATACTTCTCCATAACACATGAAAGTTGGGAGAAGGAAGGATTCAGGGATGAATGTACATGCTGCCATCTTCCCAAAATTCCCCTTCATAGCCTATTGGTAAAATTATGTACAACTAAATCCATTAATCCTTTCTTGGAAGGCCGATTTATTAAATAATTTTCAAACAGAAATTTGTTCTCCACAAGTGTAGTTCTAGGTTAGCAAATTTTCTTTTTGTTTTTGTTGTTGTTCTTTTATTAATTTTTTATTCATTTATTGTTAAAATTGTTTTACTTATCGTTAGCTCTCTCCCTGTGTAATGTAAAGCCCATGAGGATGGGACTGATGTCTATGTTCTCTTTGTTACACCAGTGCTTAAAATGACGACAGGTACACTGCAGGCACTCAGTAGATAAGTGTAAAGTGCATGATTTTTGTTTTTATGTTCAACTTAAACTGTCTAAATTTTTAAATATTTTTTGTAAACTATGTTTCAAACAAATCATCCTAACAACAAAAAATACCCAATTATGTCTACCATTATTTAAAAGCCAAAATTCTTTCTATGTATAAAAGGATCTTTAAAAAATTTTTTGTTTTATTATATTCTTTTCTGACTTGTGATTTATTGCACTTAGTGATACCTCATTGCTTCTTTTCTCTAGATTGCTCTTTGATATTTTCACCTACTTAGTATTCCAGATTTCTTCGATAATAAATATGTATGTTTAAATATAGTTCTATTTAGTGGGTTAAAATCATGTAAATGTATGTTGATAGGATACATGAATAGCCAAAGACATTAACAACTAGAAATGTCACTAAACTTATTTGCTGACATTCTCTGGTGGCCTATGCCTTACCCCCTTCTTCTCAAGATATTAAGACCACTTCCAGACTCGCCTTGATTTATCCTAAACAGCTGAGACTCAGCATGGATCTGATTAAAAGCTCCTTCTGTTTAAGTTAAAGACTTGGAAAAACTCTCCTTGCAGTTCAGTTATTCTTTTCTTCACATGCACATCCTTCTCACCCTGGCACATCCACAGGAACAACAGACAATAGTTCATCTACTCCCTATTGTGTCTGTTTGCCTCTCTAGCCTCCTGACTGTATTCTTGGTCTCTAGTTCTTTCCAAAATCTCCTGATGGGTCAGAAGACTGGTTTAGAATCATTTCATTGTTGATAAAAATTGTTTCTCTCTTGACTTATTTCATCCCAATTTTTCTTCTCTGACTTGTTTTACATACATCCCTTTAATCCACAGTTTGTAGATCTGCAAATATACTAAATTACATGGCTGCATATGCATACAAATACTGAATGATACCACTGCACCACTGCATACAAGGACCAAGATCAAACACTCAGGTCATCCTCTTCAGATAGTGATGGCAGTTTGGATCACACTGGAGAGGGCTAATGCGGATCGCTGCCCATGCTCCTGAAGGGGACAGATGATTTTGCTCTTCCACTTCCATAACACAACACGGCTTGCTGCATAAATATGGTTACACTGGCTGATGTAATTCCCTTTGTAGTTGTTTATCATCATTATCATCACTATTTACATATATACTTATTTGTTATTTCTTTGCATTGTGAACACAGCATAAATTTCATTAAGAAATGCTCTGGAACATTGAGTGTACCTGTATTTTCCAAATCCAACATCATTTCCAAGCCACCAATTTTTTTTCTATTTTAAAGAAGGGAATTCTGATGTTCAGAGCAGAAAAGTAATGTTTTCCTAATGTCCCACTCTATGTCAGTGATGGAGCTGGTAATAAAACCCTAGTTCTCAGAATCTCCAATTCAGTGCTCAATTGAAATTGCATTCTTCACTCAGTGAAACCTAAATGAGAAAATAAAAGTTACACTGATTTCACAGGAAATGTCATGCCAGACTAATGTCATCCATTTTACTCCTTGCAACCCAAGCATAATTTAAGTACTATTTACTAAATAACCTGTGAAGGTCATTTCATTCAATAGTGAAGGTTGAAAGTTGTGAGTCACCCATAATAACAAAATACATTTTGTGAGGCTTCTCTCCCTTGCTTACAAAATTAATAGCCACTTACCTACCCTTAGTCTCCTAATAAAGTTATGAGAACTTATTTTTTTCAAACCAATAGTAACAATGAGTAATATACTAAATAGCAAAGTAGATTTTTAAAAAGTTCTCTGCCATTTTCTAAATAATAACAATGACAGTTTAACAACTAATATACCATTGAAACTGCATAAAACAGTGAGATTGGTATTATATTACTTTTAAGTGTATTTTATTGATTATGCTATTACAGTTGTCCCATTTTTTCTTCCCTTTATCCCACTACACTCTACATCTCCTCTTTCCAGCATTCCTCCCCCTTAGTTCATGTCCATGGGTCATGCACATAAGCTCTTTGGCTTCCCCAATTCCTATACTATTCTTAAACTCTCCCTGTCTATTTTGTACCTATAGTTTATGTTTCCTATTTTCTGTACCTTTCCCCCTATTCTCCATCCTCCCCTTCCCCACTGATAACCTTCCATGTGATCTCCATTTCTCTAACTCTGTTCCTGTTCTAGTTGTTTGCTTAGTTTTTGTTTTTGTTTTATAGGTTCAGATTTTGATAGTTGTGAGTTTGCTGTCATTTTACTGCTCATAGTTTTGACATACTTCTTTTTCTTAAATAAGTCCCTTTAACATTTCATATAGTAAGAGCTTTGTGATGATGAACTCCTTTAACTTGACCTTATCTGGGAAGCACTTTATCTGCCCTTCCATTATAAATGATAGCTTTACTGGACAGAGTAATCTTGGATGTAGGTCCTTGCCTTCATGAATGAATACTTCTTTCCAGCCCCTTCTTGCCTGCAAGTTTTCTTTTGATAGATCAGCTGATAGTCTTATGGTATTCCTCTGTAGATAACTCTCTGCTTTTCTCTTAGTGCTTTTAACATTCACCCCTCTTTAATCTTGGGGAATGTAATTATGATGTGTCTTAATGTGTTCCTCCTTGGGTCCAACTTCTTTGGGACTCTCTGAGCTTCCTGGACTTCCTGGAAGTCTATTTCCTTCATCAAATTGAAGAGTTTTCTTTCATTATTTTTTCAAATAAGTTTTCCATTTCTTGCTCTTCTTATTCTCCTTCTGTCACCCCTTTGATTTGGATGTTAGAATGTTCAAAGTTGTCCCAGGGGTTCCCTAAGATTCTCCTCATTTTTTTTGAATTCTTGTTTCTTCATTCTGTTTCAGCTGAATATTTATTTCTTCCTTCTGTTCTAATTGTTTATTTGAGTCCTGTTTTTCTTCCCTTCACTGTTGGTTCCCTGTATATTTTTCTTTATTCCACTTTGTATAGCCTTCACTTTCTTTATTTTTTGTCCGTACTCAGTAATTTCTGTGAGCATCCTGATTACCAGTGTTTTGCATTCTGCATCTGATAGGTTGGCTATCTTCTCATTGTTTAATTCTTTTTCTGGAGTTTTTATCTGTTCTTTCATTTGGGCCATATTTCTTTGTCTCAGCACACCTATTACATTATAAGGGGTGGAGCTTTAGATATTCACCAGGGTGGGGCAACCCACTTCACTGCACTGTGGCTCTGTATTTGGGGGAGGGGTCAGAGATGGAACAATGTCATTTGCTTGGCTTTTTCTGGCTTTCAGCCACTTTTTCTTGTGACCTACAAGTGAACTGCACCTTTCTGGTGCTGATTCCCAGGTGGGTGGGTTTGTTTACATTCCAGGACCACATGGGTCCCTCCAATGGACTCTCCTGTGAGGTTGGGAGTTTCTCCCCTACCACAACCCCCACATATTTTTATAGTCAGAGGGTTTGAGGTTTTATTTCCCCATGCTGGAACCCTGGGTTGCTCAGTTTAGCTCACTCTCCAGTTGTTCCTCCCAGTTTTCTGCACATGAAATGTGGGACTGCCCAGTATGCCAGCCACTGCATTGGCCACTCATTCCAGCAGCCACCACCTTGCAGCTCATCCTCTCCACCTCAGCTACAGTCTCCACCCCTCCTACCAGTCTGGATGAATGTTTCCTCTTTAACTCCTTGGTTGTTGGACTCCCATACAATTTAATTTTCTGGCAGTTCTGGTTTTTGTTTTTAAATTGGTTGTTGTCCCTCTTTTGTTTATGTGATGAAATGAAGTGTATCTATCTATGCATCCATCTTGCCTAGAATATATCATTTATTATTTTATTGCTTTATTATTGATAAAGATAAATCTTTGAGCATTAAATTCATTTAATTAATTAATAAAACCAAGTTTCAAATTCTATTATTCAGATCAACATCTCCTACACTGAAAATAAAAGATTATTTTAAACCCCCTGGAATTAAAGTCTAATAATAAATATGAAGCTGATATTCAGGAAAAAAACTATTTGTGATCATTAGTATTTTTTGTCATCCAGAATACTCTACTAGAAACACAACAAAGCATTTGTAATTTGGAGTGCACACTCTAAATTTACAAAGAGTTTAACAGATGCTTTATATTTTTAATTTTATTTAATAGACATAGTACTTATCTACCAAAAATAAAAGATGCAATATGAATCATCATATAAAATACATATTAAACTAGACAGATAATTACCTTAGTTTATTACTTTTCATTGGTTAAGTGTTCATGAAGACAGTCATTATCTATAGAAAACATCAAAAAGAAGAAGAGTAACATAATTGAAATATTTAAAGGTAACTCAGAAAACTTCCATACATATGATTCAGTAATCTTAAGAAATAAAACTCTATTCATTAACCTGAAAGGGGAAAAAAAGATGTACAAACAATAAAGAACAACATAGCTCCTGAGGAAGCTGGTTTATGTGATCTGGCTTTTAAAGTGACAGGATTATAGTCAACATATTCAACAGTCAGCATGGCATGGACACTTACCAACTGGAAGAGAAGCAATAAACCAACCAGTTGTCCAGTTTACCACTGCACAGACATTTCCCCTTAGCCCATTTTAGAATAAGATGAAGATGTCTTAATCAAGAAAACACCAAAAAAATCTGATAGACTACTAAGAAAGTTAGGGCTCAGGATAATAAGCAACTTATGATGACTATAGAGACTCATAAAACTTCCTATAGCATAAGAACAAGTAGAAACCATTGTCAGTGTCTGAAAAGTTCTTTGAAAGGTTCACAGAAGAGTATGTTCTTCAACTTGTATTTGGCTTCTGTCATCTTATGTGAGAAGAGATAAAACTAAAAGAGAGAAAGGAATTTGAAATTTGAGACAGTAATAGGCCACTTTCATAAGTTCAGTTGTTTAGGCACAGATCAATTACATCATAAAAATATTATGAATAAATTTGTAAATTTTAATTTTTATAAATGGAAGATTTGGAGAGAATCTTGGAATTCTGGAGAAGGGTAAATATAGATGCTATGTGAAGCTTTTAAAAAAGCATTATTAAGAGTAAGTAAGGATACTCATGCTAGTATCCATGTTCACTCATTCAAGAAAAATTCTTGGAGTACCTATTAAATGTAAAGCCTCCTACTCTAATGTGAGGAGAAAGATGAATTTCTGCCCTCTACCAGAGATTATATTATATAGGCTGGTATTGTAGCAAATACTATATATACAGTGGGATTTAAATTCTGTAAGTAAGCAGTGATGTTCCTGTGGAGAAACCTGAGTAATATGGATTTAGTGAGCCTATAATGAACAGGCTGACATTCCAAACTCAAAAATGATAGTAAGATTAAATATAGAGGTCAACCTAGAACATAATGTTTCTGGGCATTCCACACAGGGCTTAGTCTTTCATTATTTCTTATAAAAGATATTTATACAAGAATATAAAAGATATGAATACTAAATCTGTATAAATTATAAAATTGAATCAGATAGCTAAAATATAAAATGACAAAATTGAGATTCAGGAGCACTTTGACAGATGATGGGTTCAAACAACAAAACTGAATAAGAAAAAAGGTAAAGTCCTAATTTAGGAGAAAAATAAACCAACTGTGTAAGGATAACATGGTGTAAACCTGGCTCAAGACTAGCTTAAGTAAAGATTCAGGAGACTGATCTGGCCATAAATTCTATGTAAACAAAAAAAGTAACTTATGGTTAAAAATGTTCTATTTGCATGTATTATCAGATGTTTATTATAGCATTATTAATAAGGAAAAATGCAGACCACACAAAATAAATATTACATAAGTAAATTATAATACAAGAGTCAATGAACACAGAGCCCAATAAAAGGACTTTTTCATCACAATAAAATGTTACATAAACTGAATGATATTTGTTATATAGTCAGCATGATTTTAGCTATGTAGGAACTTGTATAGAAGTTGTACTAAAAAAAATGTGTTAAACACTTAAAAATGGTTTCCCCATAGTATCTGAAATCAAAGGAATATTGATCTCAGGAATATTTTCCTTACGTTTCTTTTTAATTTTCTTAATTTTCATAATACATTTAAAATTACTTTTTTTAAATTAAAGATTTTATTTATTTATTTTTAGAGAGGGAAGGGAGGGAGATAGAGAGAGAGACAGAGAAACTTCAATGTGCAGTTGCTGGGGGTTATGGCCTGCAACCCAGGCATGTACCTGGCTGGGAATCGAACCTGGGACACTTTGGTTCCCAGCCCGTGCTCAATCCACTGAGCTACGCCAGCCAGGGATAAAAATTACTTTTAAAATCAAAATATTGTTTTTAAATAAGCTGATCAACCACCTGTTCATTTGCAGCCTTTGAATTGGTTTTGGCTTATTGATATTTAATAGAATCTATCAATAATTGTGGGAAGATAAAATAGACTTAAATCTCACTGTAGGAAAAAACTCACTGTGCAAATGACTTGCCATGAAATAAGAAAGAACTAACTATTTTCATTATTGTAAAATGTCTATGCACCACAATTTTTTTAACATTTTATTTTATCATATATCCATTTGCAAATCATTCAAACCTTTTTCCCAAACACTATCTGGAGAAGATTTTGCTAATTCTCCATCCCTCTGCCAATGGAATGCTTCATAATCATCTAGGCAATGGGAGAATCTTCAGTGGGTCTGTTGGGAACAAGGTAAAGACAGAATGGAAGCAGTACTGCTTCTGAGGTGGGTGAGTGGGTCCAGTTGAAGTGAACAAGAGAACTTTGAATAGCCTATGGTAACATCAAATCCCTGGGTATCAAATTAGGCATTATAGCAGGGGAGCCCAAAATAAAAACGAAGGAAGAGAAAACAAGACCAATCTCATTTATATCCCAGTTTGGGGCTGACATACAAACAAACCTTGTAGATTACTTCCAGTCCTCAGATCCATAAGAACATGTTTATTGACTGATAGTGCAATAGTTGCAGAGCAGAGAAATGTTTCCAAGAAGTGCTAGCTGTCCTCAAGGGGTAGAGAAGTGGTGTATTTTATATATTCAGACATATAGATGCTATCAATAATTTACATTAAGTGTGTTCCTTGAATTATATAAATGAGGAAAAATTTCAGTTGATTTGATGCCATGGATATTTCTAAGACTCGTACAAATTTAAAATTAATATGAAATTTGATGGCAGGAACTTTTAACTTCATGGATTTTAGAAGTTATGATTTATGGAATAAATCTAACCATCTGGCAACATAAGTAATGAATGCAATTTTTGTATTATCAACCTATAACTTAAATATTTATTTCCAGATATAAACATAAAACTCCAAAACTTTAGATGGTAAGCTTTCTAAAATAAACTACACATTTACAACTGAAGGAAATAAATCATGTAAACAATTACATTTTAAAATGCATAGCTTATTTTATCATATGCTAACAATTAGTTTCTGAATCATTAAAAATATATACAGCAGACTTTGTCTTAATAGCCCTTAAGTATTTCTTATTTATAATAAAAATCATTGTTTTTCATAAAAATAATGAAGCTTAATGCTTTTCCACATACATTCAGTCTTTTTTCCTGAACTCAAATACATTTGTCCAAGTTCATCAGCTGTTTAATAGGAAATTTTATATATAAACAAATTTATATATAAATATATATATCTTTAGTGAAAATAGACAATTTTAATAGCATGTAACATAGGTTAATTCATTTCTACTTTTTTCTATAGAGTTTACATCAATCAACTTTTAAGAATTATTGAAAGATCCACAAAGACACAACAAAGAATGTTCATAGCAGCACAATTTACAGTAGCCAAATGCTAAAAACAGCCTAAGTGCCCATCAGTAAATGAGTGGGTCAAAAAACTGTGGTTCATTTACACAGTGGAATACCACACAGCAGAAAGAAAGAAAGAAAGAAGGAGCTCCTACCCTTTGCAAAAGCATGGATGCAACTGGAAAGCATTATGCTAAATGAAATAAGCCAGGCGGTCGAAGAGAAATACCATATGATCTCACCTATAAGTGGAACCTAATCAACAAAACAAACAAATGAGCAAAATAGAACAAGAGACTTGGAAATCAAGAAAAAACTGACAGTGACCAGAGGGGAGCAAAGAGAGGAATAACAGAAAAGAAGGGGAAGCAGCAAGGAAAGGAACATGAACAGAGGACTCATGGGCATTGAAAATAGCAGGGAGATTGACTGTGGGAATAGGGTAAGGAGATAGGGGTAGGGGGATGCAATGGGGGAAAAGGTGGGACAACTGTAACTGAACCAAAAAAAAATAGAATTATTGAAAGATACATTTTGTTTATTTTCTGCCTGTTTCCCAAAATTCTTAACCAAGCCTTAGATTCTCACAGAAAAATAAATTGAACCTCTAGGGACAATACGAGAATAATAGGACATTTGGCTAAAGGACCTTAAAGTTTATCACATTTTTAAACTTAATGTTCCCATCTTAGTTTTCACAATACCAAGTGGGATGCAAACTTAGCTGGCATTCCCTATAATTACCACATAAATAGACCAAAGTCTCAGGTTCTCCCTAAATAAGCTTGTCCTGAATCTTAATCTAGTATTAAAAAATAAAGTAAATGAAAACATCTTTCTGATCTCATATTCTATCATTTCATCTAAGTCACTTTTTGCCTTGCTATGAACTCAGAAAACTTAAGCATTCATAATGAAACATAGTATTGGAAGCATATAGATTCTGAAACTAAACTGTCCAGATACTCAACCCAACTCTGACACACATTATATGCCTTTGGCCCCAGTGACTTGGCCAATCTGTGACACAGTTCTCTTAAAAATGTGAATAATGACATTACTTACCTCATAGAACTATTGTAAGAACTAGATATATATTAGATATATATAAGAATTAGATATATAGATATATAGATACATAATTCAATATTGCCTGACACATAGTAGATGCTCTATGTGTGTTTGCTATTATTACTATTACCTTAACCTTTAATTGACTCACGTTAAAACAGAAAAGTTGAGTAGAGTTAGCATAAAACAGAAAAATTGAGTAGAGTTAGCATGAATTTGTAATTGATAGCCTTCTCTTTCCTCTGCATCACTTCCCACCAAGGATATAATTTGGTTATATTGTAACAGAAAATAAATGTTAAACTTAATTTCTCCTTTTCCTTTAGCATTTAAGTTATCATTCTGCTCATTTTGATTAAATAAGAGAAATATTTTTCCAGGTCTAGTTAATAATAAATATCCTCTTATCCAAGAAGAAAAAA